CCATTGTATTCCCTTTTACCATGTATGGATGTGAGAGCTGGACAGTTACAAAAGATGATAGAAAGAAAATCAATTCCTTTGAGATAATGTGATGCTGGAGAAGAGTGCTGAGGATCCCATGGACAGCCAAAAGGACAAACAAGTGGGTCCTAGAGCAGATCAAGCCGGAAATCTCTGTGGAAGCCAAGATGACCAAACTGAGGCTGTTGTACTTCGAACACATCATGAGAAGAGAGGACTCTTTGGAAAAGACAATAATGCTGGAAAAGGTGGAGGGAAGCAGGAAGAGAGGAAGGCCACATGCCAGATGGATGGACTCTATGAAGGAGGTCATGGGTATTAAGGAGTTGCAGGAATTAAGCAGAGCAGTGGAGGATGAGGGTTTTGGAGGTGTCTCTTCCATAGGGTTGCCATGAGTTGAGATTGAATTGAGGACAGTTAACAACAATGAAAACAAAAACTGCAATCGCTTAATGCTATGGAATTCTGATATTTGTAGTTTGGTGGGCACCAAAGTTCTCTGACAGGGAAGGCTTAAATATCTAGTTGCTGTTGTTGCTGTTGTGTGCCTTCAAATCGTTTTGGATTTATGGCAATGCTAAAGCTCCATAAATATCATGGGGTCACCATAAATATTATAAATATCATATCATAGGGTTTTCTTGGCAAGATTTGTTCAGAAGAGGATTGCCATTGCCTTTCCCTGAGACAAGAGCATATGGCCTGCCCAAGGTCAAAAAACTACAAACCCCAGAACTCCATAGCATTAAGCCATGGCCAGGGTGACCAGATGTCCTCCTTTTACAGAACACATCCTACATTTCAACCTTCTGTCCATTTTGAGCATGACTAAAAAGCATGAATTTACATTTCTGTGAATGTTTTTCCGTTTCTATTTGGTCATGTCCTCCGTTTTTTTCCTGAATGCCCTACATTTCATGGTGCCTTGTCCTCCTTTGCCATTATATGTGGTCAACCTGCCCTTTCCCAGGACATGTCCCCCATTTCAACCTTCCATCCAGGAGGAATTCCCAAATGTCCTCAATTCTGAGTAGGACTAAGAAGCATGAATTTACATTGACAGGAGTGTGTTGAGATTTTATTTGG